AAGTCTTTTTAGGAGGAACTAACATCTTCATCATACTGAATTAATCTATCCGAAAAGATATCTTTCCATTTGTTTAAGTGTACTCTTGGGTCTTTCGGTAGTGTTTGAAAGTTTTCCTCTTCTTCATTTTACATAATTATTGTTTAATTTATCTTTAAGTATTTCATATTTTGTTGTACAAAGAGTATTCTCTATCATTGTATACTCTAGTTATTTGTGTACAAAAAAGTGCTGTTCATTTCTGTGTATATTATATCCTGCTGCCTTGCTGAATTCCTTTGAGTCAGGTTTTTTTTTTTTAGATTTTATTTATGTATTCATTTGAGATAGAGCACAAGAGAGCAGGAGCAGGGGAGTGAAGGGTGAGTGAGAAGCAGACTCCCTGCTGAGCCGGGAGCTGGAGGTGGAGCTAGATCCAAGGACTCAGAGATCAAGTCCCAGGCCTAAGGCAGATGCTCAACTGACTGAGCCACCCAGGTACCCCTCACCTTTGAGTCAATTTTATTTTATTTTATTTTATTTTATTTTATTTTATTTTATTTTATTTTATTTTATTTTATTTTTTAAAGATTTTTTTAATTTTTATTTATTTATGATAGTCACACAGAGAGAGAGAGAGAGAGAGAGGCAGAGACACAGGCAGAGGGAGAAGCAGGCTCCATGCACCGGGAGCCCGACGGATTCGATCCCGGGTCTCCAGGATCGCGCCCTGGGCCAAAGGCAGGCGCCAAACCGCTGCGCCACCCAGGGATCCCTGAGTCAATTTTAATGTTGATTCTCTCTAGGGTTTTTGAATTATAACCTATATCTCCAAACAGATATAAATTTATTTCTTTTCTATTATTATACTTCTAATTGATTTTTATTTTCTTATTGCATTAGCTAATACTTCCAAGTCAGTGTTTAGTAACAGAAGAGATAGTGATTGTTCTTGACTTGTTCCTGATCTTACTGGAAATGACTAGTTTTTCTCACTTAGATACTAGCTGTTAGACTAAAGAATGTATAATTTATTATTTAAAAGGAAGTCCATCAATTCCTACTTTGAGTATTTTCATTAGGAATAGATGTTGATTGCTGTTGAGTTCCTTCAGCATCTATGATGATAATCATGATGTCTCTCCATAGATCAGTTAATATGTGGTATCATATTAATGGATTTCCTAATATTTGAACAAATCTTACATTTGAATAAGTTCATCTTTCTTGTGATGTTACTTTTCTTAATATGGTTTTAGATTTTTATTAGTATTTTTCACACTAATACTGGGCTATAAACATTTTTATACTTTTCATCAGATTTAGTTGTCAACATTAAGCTATTTTCACAAAAGACTAGAAGTTTTTCTTAATTTTTAGTATTCTGGAAAACATTTTTGCAGCATTGAGTTTATTTGGTCTTGGTAAGTTTGTTAGAATACCCTTTAGAAATGATGTCGATCTACTGCTTTTTTGTGGGATAATTCCTTAACAATCTTCTGTTTATTCTGTGCATATTAGTGTTTTAAAACTTTCTGTCTCTGATAAGGGTGATTTTGGTAAATTAGGTTTTTCCCAGGAAACAATGTTTCATAGGTTATCCCATTTATTTGTGTAGAAGTCTGCAAAGTGATGTTTTGTGTATGTGGGGTTTTTTTGTTTTACTTGTTATTTATTCCTTTTCTTTTTTAATAAATATGTACATTCTCTTTGTGTTCATTAAATCGTTTAAGTTTTTCCAAATAAGTAGGATTTTGATTTATAATTAGGTTGCTTTTCTCTTTAGTTCACTGATTTCCATTTTTATTTTTATTTTCTTCCTTAATTTCCTTTGATTTACCTTTCTCTTAGTTCTTTGATCTGAGAATTTAGTGTTTGTTCATTTAATCTTTTTATTGATATAAAAGTAAGACTATGAACATTCCTGGATCACTGCTTTAAGTTTACTCTATAGATTATAATCTGTAATAGTTTTAATTATCAATATTTAGAAATTTTATTTCACAGGTGCCTCTGTGGCTCATTTGGTTAAGTGTCTGCCTTCTGCCTTTGGGTCAGGTCATGATCATGGGGTTCTGGGATGGAGCTCCTCATGGGGCTCCCTGCTCAGTGGGAAGTCTGGTTCTCTCTCTCCCCATCCCCTATCGTGCTCTCTCTCAAATAAATAAATAAAATTTTTTAAAAAAGAAATTTCGTTTCATCTCCCCATTTGCTGAAGAGTTGTCTTAATAGCTTATTTTCCCCACTTAGGAGGGGCTTTTTAAATTTGGCATTTTAATAAGTTTTTAGTTTCATGTCACTTTATGGAACTTACTGATGTTGTCTCTGTGACCTAATATATGACAGGATTCTGTGACTGAGTCACATGTGCCTGAGAAAAAAGTTTACTTCATATTATTAGGGCATAAGTTTCCATAGCTATTCTTAAGATTTACTTGATAATTAGATTATCTAGGTCTTCTGCATCATTATTTATTTTTTGTTCTGCTTTGTAAGTCTTTACTGATAGTGGCATGTTGTTTTATTATTAATGTTTTTATCTGTATTTCTTGTTATCTCTTGTAGTTTTTGCTTTGTAAGGGTGACTGCTGTGTAACTTGGTTCAAAATTATAACTTACAAGCTCTATTTTAATTTTTAATTACAGCTTTCAACATTAAAAAGTTATTCATCATGTCTAATATTTTTCAGCCTGAGTTCTTCTCTTCTTGATATCTTGGATACAGGGCCTTCCTTTATTCTTTTTATTTACCTGTGATCCTTTTTTTTTTTTTTTTTTGGCCTGTGATCCTTTTTCTGTCCCTTTAGTTTCAGCCTTTTTGAGTCTTTAAGCATCTCTTGTAGTTGGCATGTAGTTGGATCTTGCTTTGTGAGCCATGGTAAAAACATTTGAAGAGGTGAGCCAAACTCCTTCGCATGCATTGATGATTGATATATTTGGTCTCCGCGTGATCATATTGTTTATATTTGTCCTAATTTTTCAGCTACTTGTTGTGTTTTCATTGCTCTTTCATTAAAAATGTTTTTAGAATGTTTGGTTTTTGTTATCATGGCATAGATCTTTTGTGATGTTAGTCCCATTTTTTTATTGAGCCTTTAATTATCTGCTTTTTCAGTTTTTAGTAGGAACCCTTTCCTACTGTCTGCCATTAATGCACTAACTAGTGAGGCCACTTTCTCTTTCTTCTCTCAGCTTTTAGTTGAATTATGTCTATTTTATTGAAACAAAGTGTTTAACAAGACTGCTAATTTAGTAACACTTTGGCACTTTTGTCATTGTGGTAAGGTTTTGTGGGGTTTTTGTCTTTTTTAATGAGTTGGCATTTTTTGAAGATAATGGGGAGATAGAGTGTGTCTCTTTTATTTTCCTTTTTTCTAAAAAAACAAAACAAAACAAAAAAAACTTCCCTTCATCTTGAAGGACCCTTAAATATTCTTTCTTTTCTCTTTCACTATGCAGCCCAGAGGGTTGGTTCCTCTCCCTCCCTGTTTACTCTCTCCTGAAGCACCTGCCAGGACTGCCTCTTTTACTCTGGTGTGGGTGCTAAGTCCCTTTCTGATACCCTTTTCTGATCAGAACTTTCAAAATGTGTTTTGTACTTAGAGTGGGTTTTCTCTCTCTGGCAGGAAACTCAGTTGATTTTGTGTGCCCCGAGCCCTCGTCTGCACCCCACATACTCAGGCCACCCTTGCTCTCATGGGCAGCATGCATAGCTTGCATTTGAGAGCCGGCCAACTATGATTTGGTGAAGATGTGAGCTTGTGTTGTGCATTTGTTTTTCTTCTTGCTCCTTTAGCTTCTAAAGGAGGTGTCGGGAAATTGGGCTTCCTACAGCCATCATTACCCCGATTTTGCTTTATTACTGTGTTCTGTAGAGTTCTCCCAGAGGTATTTTGTCCTTTTTCCATACATAAGTCGGTTTTCTATCCACTGAAGTCAGTTTTAAATCATTGTTGTAGAAGCTCATAGGTTTTCTGAAAAATCCCAGTTAAACTACAATTTATGGTTTCCCTGACTTCTTTGTTTCAGGCTGTATTGGGTTCACCCTGAAGGAAACAGCAATCAGAAGAGTCAACTCACTGCTCATTGGGTTGTGCTTGAAAGTTTGGTTTTCCTTGACCTGCGCACTGTTTACTTTTCAGAGGCCTTAAGTGCCTAGCCCATGGATTCTGTCCAGATTTCAGAAATGCATTCTGAGGGAGAACAAAAATGGCATGTGTTTACTCCCATCTTAGCCTGGAACCAGAATCATGACACTTGTCATCTTTATACTGGCAGCTACATAGGGACTCCATGTCATAGAGAGCCTCAACTAAATGTGCCCACTTGTTGTCTGGGTCTCAGGAGTTCCTTTCTTGCTTCTGATCCTCCGGAGCAGAAAGGTTCTTGAGGAAACGGAAGCCTCCGTGGCCTGAAATAGGCAGGTTAAAGCTGCCGAGGGAAGGAATCATTGGACAAGTCTGAGCTCTCTGACTTCTTTTATGCCCGTAATGGGCTACCTCCCGAATTGTTTGTGGCTGAAATACAAGTGCCCTTAGGCCACTGTAAATTTTGGATAACCAGAAGTGTGATGATGGCATGCCCTCCAGTGAAGGAAGGATGCCTATAGTCAAGGAGTGGTTTCGTGGGAGTGCAGGTATAGTGTGTGTTCCCTACTGCCCTGTAGGTCCCTCCTGCAGCCCGAGTTCCTGCTGGGAGGATGATGCCTTAGCATGTGTTGTCTTCCATTGAGATTTAGGGATAGGGGCCCTTTCCTTCGATGCTGTTAGAATCCCCAAGGAAGCTGTAGATTGTGCAGGTGGTCTTCAGATTCTCCCTTGTCCCTTTCCTGTAGAGTTCTCTGAGATGGTGTAGGATTCCGATTAACCTCAGAATTGAATTTAAGGCATTGTATAAGAAAACCCATCTGTTCTTTTAAGGAAACCAGTTTACCCATTTTCAGGTTCTTCGAGTGAAATGATCTGGTGCTAAATTTGCTCATTTATGATGGTGTATTCTTTTCTCATCCTTGTGTTTTACAGAATGCTGTCTTCCTTGAGAAATCAAATTCTTAGGACCAGGAGGTAAATGCTGCTTTCTTTCCAGTTAGATTCTAGGTAAGCTAAGTTTCTCTGGTCCTCAGGGATGTACCTTCTCCTAGATCGTGCTCTGTCAGAGTGGTCCCCTGTCTTCTGGAACTTGGCCTTTTGCTTTTACCATAGGGACACGAAGAATTTACAATGAGGTTTATTCACGCACTCAGCAGATGCTTAGTAAGCACCAGCTGTGTGCCTGGCACTGCTCTGTATCCTAAAGAAAGAGCAGTACACAAGACACATAAACATCCTTGCCATATTTTAGACCATAAAAAAACAAATTATGTAGCGTATCCAAAGGTGGTCAGCGTTGTGGAAAAATCGGAAAAGCAGTCTTGGGAACACTGGGCATGGGGATGGCCCACAGCTCTGAATATGGTGGTCACGGGAGGCCTCCTGGAGAAGTGACAGCTGAAAAAGTAGTTGAGGGAATTAAGAGAGCTGTGCATACCCACATACCCACAGGGAAGAAAGCTGGAGAAACCAGCAGGGAAGGACTGAGGCCCTAAAGGGAGTTGGGGTGAGGACAGCTGGGAAGCCATTGTGGGCACATCATGTGGAGAACAGAGAGCAGGTCAGAGAAGCAGTGGTAAGGTCGCAAAGCAGCCCCTTTGAGGCCTCTAGGGCCATTGTGAGGACTGAAAGAGGTGGGGAAAGGGGAGGCCACTGAAGGGAGCAGAGAAGAACGGATTCTGTTGTTTTATTTTTATTTTGTTTGGATTTTTATTTGTTTGACAGAGTGCAAGCATACAAGCAGGGGTAGGGGCAGAGGAAGAGAGAGCCCAAGCAGAGGGCAGATCTTCACTGACTGAGCCCCACCCCAAGCACCCCTGTTCTGTTGTTTTAACAGGAGTTCACTGGTTGCAGGGTTGAGGGCTTGTGGGTATAAGGAGGGTAATGATAGGATGGCAGGAGTTGCTGGGGCTACCATGATGAAATGCCACAGACTGAGTGCTTTAAACAGCAAATTGGTTGCCTCACAGTCTGGAGGCTAGAAGTCCAAGATCAAAGTGTCAGGTTTGGTTTCTTCTGAGATCTCTCCATGGCTTGCAGACGGCCACCTTCTCTTGGTCCTCATATGATCTTCCCCCTGCCCACACATCCCAAATATCTCTGTGTCCTAATCTCTTCTTATAAAGACATCAGTCAAAATGGATTAGGGCCCACCTAAATTTACCTCCCCCCCTTTTTTTAAGATTTTGTTTGTTTATTCGTGAGAGACACAGAGACATAGAGGGAGAAGCAGGCTCCATTCAGGAAGCCCGATGTGGGACTCGATCCCAGGACTCCAGGATAATGCCTTGAGCCAAAGGCAGATGCTTAACCACTGAGCTACCCAGGTGTCCCTAACTTTACCCTTTAAAAGTCCTGTCTCCAGGGCCTCTGGCTGGCCTAGTCCATAGAGCAGGTAACTCTTAATCTCAAGGTTGTAAGTTGGAACCTCACACTGGGTGTAGAGTTTACTTTAAAATCTTTTAAAAAAGTTAAATAAAAATTAAAAAAAATATATTTAAAAAAAAGGGATCCCTGGGTGGCGCAGCGGTTTGGCGCCTGCCTTTGGCCCAGGGCACGATCCTGGAGACTCGGGATCGAATCCCACGTCAGGCTCCCAGCGCATGGAGCCTGCTTCTCCCTCTGCCTGTGTCTCTGCCTCTCTCTCTCTGTGACTATCATAAATAAATAAAAATTTAAAAAAAATATTTAAAATCTTTTTAAAAAGTAAAATAAAGATCCTGTTTCCAAATACAGCCACATTCCAAGGTAACGGGGTGTGGGGTTGGTTAGAGCTTCAACATACAAATCCGGGAAGCACCCCCTTCACCCCTTAACTGATAGGAACCAGTTAGGAGGTTTTTACCATCATCAAATGAGAAATGAGCAGGATTTGGACCAAGGTTGCAGCAGCAGACACAGTGAGAAGTGGTTGCATTCTAGTTTTGAGAATGGAGCCCATGAATTTGTTGATGACTCAATTGTAGAGAGTGAGAGAGATTGCAGGATGACTCCAGGGTTTGGGCCTGAGGACAGGAAAGGATAGATTTGCCCTGAACTGCCATCAGGCGGAGGAGTATTGGAGTAGGTCTGGATTTCAGCTCGGTACAGCTTCTCTGCTGGCCTGCTTTTTGACTAAGTAAGGCAAGAGCAGATATGGGACATTGAGTTCTAAATTCTACTAACAGAAAACGTTCTTTGTGACACTTTAGGCTTTGGGGGTTGATTGTGGAAGCTGCAGCATACACTCTGGTACTTAGTAACTAATATGTTATTAGTAGTTTTTGGTTTTGTTTTAGCTTTGGGGGTTTTGTTTTGTTAGTAGTTTTCAGGTAACTTTTTCTCAAGAGGCCCATGGTTCATCAGTAATCAAGGGTATGTGTTCTGTGGCTGCCTGCAGCCCCTTAGAACTCAGAGACTCAGCATCCTGGTAAATACATAGAGTAGTATTCACTCTCTTGTATCATCAGGACAGAAATGTACTCATCTTTAAGATACTTCATTGGGTAGCAGGAGTTCATTTGACTGGTCAGATGTGTACATTTATTTCCTGGGATCCATTATCGAATGAACAGAGAGAAATGATCTTGGAGTGTAAGGAATTCTTGTACGATAACTATGAGGGTCACCTGGAACAGGTAATTTGGACCAAAAAAATGTAATTTCTATGACAGTTTTGTTGATCACGGTGACATGATAGAATATTTGAAATCTAGGATGTAGAGTTACTGTATTTAGCATAAACACGCAATCTCTTGTGTGTAGCCCACCTCCTTCCCTCCTCCGAGCTGCGGACGTCACTGCTCTTTCAGCCATGCATCAGTTTTCTCTCATACTGTTCCTCTGTAGTGGTTTGAACACTACCTTTCTGTGGACCTCTCTGGCTTCTTCAAGAAACTGCTCTACTCCCACCCTGTTCAGTTTTGAGTTGACATCTAAAGCCTTGGTATTTCTTTTTCTATTTATAAATAACTTTTTTTTTTTTTTAATTATGACAACCATCTCTGTGCCTTACGCATGGAGAGTTTACAAATTGCTGAATGGAAATTGGGAAACCAGTTAGCAAATGGATGAAACAGAAAGTTCCCCATCTTCTGGATCCTTTCACCTCATTGTTTACTCTGAATTCAGGTGGCCTGCATATTGTTTCCTTTCACAGACACAGGCTCTAGTCCTATATGTCACAGTTGATGAATGGTGGACCCTGTTCCCAGAAGAATGTACATACACCAAATAACATTTGCAATCAGTTTCACAGTTTTTTTGGTTATTTAGGAGTCCATAGATGCTGGATAAGGACTTCTGTTTTAGCTTTGAGCACCTGCTATGTGCCAGGTACTAGGGAAACAGCATTGAAATGAAAAAAATCACTGTCCTTTAGGGGCTGACATTCTATGGAGGAAAATACACAGTATAACAGGAGTGTTATATGTGTGGGTCAGCTGGGATGCAGGTGTATTACAACGTAAAGCAGGATGGCCAGGCAAAGATTTGAAGGTGATGAGGGGGATGGAACCTTGAAGATCTAGAGGGGATAGCACTTTAGCCAGGAGACAGCACACATGCAAAGATCCTGAAGTGGGGGTGACCTGCTAATTTGAACAGCAGCAGAGAGACAATGTGACTGACATGTGCACAGTAGAAGAAAAGCAAGGAGAAGAGTCAGAGTGGTAACCAGGAGGCAGAGTTCTTAGGGGCTTGTTGGTTTCTAACAGGAGCAGTCTGGCAGAGCGATAAGGGCGAATGTTAGATTGGAGGATGTTCCAGAAACCTTAGAAGACAAGACTTGGAGGCAATAAACAGATTGATTTCTTTTGAAGAAATTTGCAGGAAAAAGAAACAGAAGTGGGATGATAGCTTGAGGGCAAGTTGGTCAAGAGAAGTTCTCATGTTGGTTGTGCTTTTGTTTTAGGAGAACAGGACAGCCAGCTTGCTGGTTAGTGTGATCCACACAAAAACAACAGGTGCAGGATAGGGAGGATTGAATTGCTGGAGTGATGTCCTTGTGGAGTAAAAGGATAGAATCCAGTACGCCAGTGGAAGGACTGTCTGTCCTTAGACTGAGCAAAGGCAGTTTGTCATCCGTAAGGACAGAGGAAAGATGGAGCGCATGACCATGCTGGCAAGAAGTTAGTTGATGTGGTGGGAGCATGTAGAAGTGGTTTTTTATGTTTTTGTTTTGAGCGTAAGTGTATATTGTGTTGTATTGTGGGGTTTTTTTTTTTTTGGCTTAAATTTTCTCAAAAATAGGAAGCAAAGTCATCAGCTTTTACTCCTTAGATGATGAGAAAGGTTTAGAATGTATGAGGGGGAGGATCCAATATGGAAATGATCACTGAAAAGAGTGTAAAGGATACGGAATATGATGGTTTTTTCCCTTTCTTGTTTCTCCTGTGTTTCTTCTTTGGTATATTGTGAGTGGTTGGTTAAGTGACCAATTCATTGTCGTTGTCCCCCCCCCCCCCCCCCCCCGTGCTTCTCTCTCGAATCAGCCCAGTGTACAGCATTAGTCTGTGTTATTTCTTGTTGGCCATGGCGTCTTTAATTCATCTACTAGTATAGCTTCATGGAAAATAGGTCCTTAGTTGAAAGACCTCCGCATTTCTCTCCTCTCCTTCCTTTTTAATCTCCTACTAATTTGAAGATGTGGCTGCATCCCTTACCCAGGAAGAGTGGAGCATTGGCAGCCTGAGCAGAGGGCCCTTTTCAGTGAAGTGACAAAGGAGAGTTCTGTAATTGTGATCTTTCTTTGTATAAGGGCTTATTTCTTCAAGATGCTCAACCTCAGTTGTTTTAATACTTGCACATCCCTTGAAAGAGGAAAGAAATTCTTCCGTATCTCTTCATTGTATAAGGAAGAGCCTGGTACAAAAAGCAGGCTTGAAGCCCAAGCTTTCATCTGTAGTCAGGATTTTTCTTTTTGAGCAGGGTTTGTGCTCATAGCAAAGCAGAATCTTCATCTTAATAACAGTGAGCGTGAGAGCTAACACAGAGTGCTTACTGTGAGATACGTAGTGATTAACTTACGTGTGTGTTCAATTCTAATGATCATCCCCGATTCCTTCCCAACTTTGCTACCGAGAGGACTGCATAGACCTTCCCAGTCCCTTTGGAGTTGTTCTCCTCTTGAGCAAGCACACTAACTGTTAGGCCTATTGTGATTACTCAGTTGAAGCAGGGGAAAGAGGAGGAAGCCTAGTGTTGAGATCACCCAGGCTCATGACAGAAATAACTCTTCCTGGACTTTTCCCCATACGTGTCTCTGACTAGTTGTATGTTAGAAAAGAGGAAAAGATTGCAAGCCCTATAAAAACTAGAGCACTTATGAACTCTGATGGAACAGTTCCATCTTTTCTGCAGTAATAACCTTGTGCATTCTTTTCCTAGTTACAGGAATATAAATAATATTTCTTCTTTGTCTCACAGGGTTGGAAATACCAAGTGAGGAATTAGTGTGTATAATGCTGGAAGCTTGTAGAGATGAGCTGCTCATGACTGAAAGGCCTACAACAGATGTATCTTTCAAGTTCATATCAAGAAAACAACAATGAAAAAAATGATGGGTCAGGAAGACAAGTGGAAGACTCCCTAGGAGAGAGCCATAGAAAATGTTCACTTCACAAGAGAGATATAATCAGAGAACTCAGAAAAGTAAAATATATCATGTATGCCCTCAGAAGGGTAAAAAGATTTTTATTCATGTGCATGAGATTACTCAAATAGATGATCAGATATACCAGTGCCTTGAACGTGAGCAAAACTTCTGTGAAAACTTAGCTCTTATTATGTGCGAGAGATCCCATACTGGGGAAAAACCTTGTAGATGTGATATGTGTGAGAAAACCTTCATCCAAAGCTCAGATCTTATTTCACACCAGAGGGTCCACAATTATGAGAAACCTTACAAATGTAGCAAATGTGAGAAGAGCTTTTGGCACCACTTAGCTCTTTCAGGACACCAGAGAACACATGCAGGTAAAAAATTCTATACATGTGATATTTGTGGCAAAAATTTCGGTCAGAGCTCTGATCTGCTTGTCCACCAGCGAAGCCATACAGGCGAGAAACCATATCTGTGTAGTGAGTGTGATAAATGCTTCAGTCGAAGTACAAACCTTATAAGGCACCGAAGAACTCACACAGGTGAGAAACCATTTAAGTGTCTGGAGTGTGAAAAAGCTTTTAGTGGGAAATCAGATCTGATTAGCCACCAGAGAACTCATACTGGTGAAAGGCCCTACAAATGTAATAAGTGTGAGAAAAGTTACCGACACCGTTCAGCCTTCATTGTTCATAAGAGAGTTCATACCGGGGAGAAGCCCTATAAGTGTGGTGCCTGTGAGAAATGCTTTGGCCAGAAATCAGACCTCATTGTACACCAGAGAGTTCATACGGGTGAGAAACCATATAAATGCTTGGAATGTATGAGAAGTTTTACACGGAGTGCCAACCTCATCAGACATCAGGCAACTCATACTCACACTTTTAAATGCCTTGAATATGAGAAAAGTTTCAGCTGTAGCTCAGACCTTATTGTGCATCAGAGAATTCACATGGAGGAGAAACCACATCAGTGGTCGACATGCGAGAGCGGCTTCCTCCTAGGGATGGACTTTGTTGCCCAACAGAAAATGAGAACTCAGACTGAGGAGCTGCATTATAAATACAGTGTATGTGATAAAAGCTTCCACCAGAGCTCAGCTCTTCTTCAACATCAGACAATCCATATCGGTGAGAAACCATACATCTGTAATATGGGCGAGAAAGGTCTTGAGCTCAGCCCTCCCCATGCGTCAGAAGCCTCACAAATGTCTTGATCAGACAAGAAGTTACAATACCATAAAAAATGTATTTACCTGTGAGAGAACTCATTAAAGAACTCTAGGCAAATCTCACACTTTCCTCAGAGCTCAGACTTCAGTGGGGACCAGAGAATGCAACTGTGGGAAGTTGAGAAATGGTTTGCCCAGAGAACTACCCTAACAGAACACTTAATCAGCCACTCCAATGAGAAACCATACAAATGCCTTGAGTTTGGACAAACCGTTAGTCCAGGCTCATATCTGATCACCTGCAAGGGGATTTCTACAGGTGGGAAACTTTACAAATGCAGTGAGTGTAAGAGAGCTCTCTAGCAGCATTCACCCCGCCTCATCCCAAGAGAATTCGCTCCAGAGGACTTTTTAAATGCCCTCATTGTCAATAGAGCTTCAAACAGCATGTACGTCGAATTGGATGTCAGAAAGCCCATCGTGGGGAGAAACCCAGCAAGTGCGTAAAAAGCTTCTAACAGAACTATGACTTTCTTACTTTTCAGAGAAGCCATACTGGTGAAAATGCGTGTATTTGTCTTGAATGTGGCAAAAACATTAGCTGAGAGCCTTCTTGGGTTTGCACCAAAGAAACCCAATCTGAGGAAAGACCTTACAAAGTCTCTGAGTAAGAAAAACTCCTGTCAGTGAGCAGCTCTTGTGGTACACCAGGGAACTCCCATAAGGGAAGAACCCTCCTTTGAGTCTGAAAAAAGCCTTGCTAGAAACTCCTACCTTATCAGGTCCCAAAGAACGTACTCTGCACAGAATTTTGCGCCAATGAGAGATCTCATTGTGGACTGTGTACATAATGATAGGTAATAGTTGACCCATATGGTAGAGATGATTTTTAATGGAGTCAGTATGTAAACAGTTGCTTAGATGCCCGGAACCTTGTTCTGGGAGGAGCTAGGCAGGTCAGAAGAGGCCTGATGGGTAACTCAGGTAAAGATACTTTTATCTGAACCACTTAATGATTGCTTTACTTTCACTTGTTAAAATTTGGAAATCCAATAAAGGAAAGGACTGTAACCTTGTGATAGAAGGTGTGGCATGTATTACTGTCAGGGGGAAAGGATTATACTAACTTTTCCTCTGTCAGTTTTTTAATTCTTGGCAAGAATGGGGACTAGTATGTTGTCAGTAGCCTGGGAACCTTTTGCTGGTAGTGAAAAGAACTGAACAGCTAGGGAGTAGCCAGATCAAAACACTCCCCAAAGTGCCCTCTTTGGAGGGCCAACCTCATAAAGAGGCAGAATACTTAGCTTTTTACTGTGTGAGTTAAGGGATTCCCCCCAAAAAAAAGTTTCCTTTCCCTCAAACATCTTTGAGATTATCACTGGTATTTGAAATTTCAGCTTTAGAGAGTTATTTTCAACTCAGAAATGCAAATTTAAGTATAATGGTCATGATGTTGCTAGCATCTGTATTTTTGTGACTTTATTTAATACGTCTCTTTTGATGAAAAGATGCTCTTCAGCTCCTTGCAAAATGATTAAGGGAAACCAAAAGAAAGATTTAAGCCTGAACAGACACAGAGTAAAAACACATAATGATACATTATTAATGAAGGAGCTAAACTTTGATTTTGAGTATCCTGACTTCAAAGCTCGTGTTTTTCACTCTGTTATCCTGCGGTTGATAGTAAATCAATCCCCATAATGATATGCCTTTCATTTATTTCAGTTCTGCCAAGGAAAGAGAGAATACTTTTTTTCCCAGGGAAAGGATTGCAGTCACCACAACATAAGGTATCTGTTTGGCTTGGAATGTAGGATTCTGAATGCTAGGAGGCAAAAGTAGTTGACAGATTCATCAGAGACTTAAGGATAAGCACTTATCTCCAATTTAACAGGATAATTAATGATTATCTCTAACATTCTCTAGAAATACTGTACTTAATCCAGGGATTATAAATGGACCATTCAGAGGTTTTTTTTTCTTCCCTCAAGTTAAAAGACATTTACTATAAATAAGATTCCTACAGTATTTGGGACTATAGACTGGTGAGTAAATATTTTGTTGCTAGTCTGGGTTCTCTGGTTTATTTTAACAAATCCCTGAATGATTGGAGAGTGCTGACATTCAGACTCATGGTGGTGGCCAGCTGTTACCTTGTGTATGGCTCTAAGCTTTGGTCCTATTAACTGGTTAATGAGCTTGATAATCTAAGAGTCAGTGGATATAGCGTATAGTAATAATAAGGAATCTGGTTCTAGGGTGGGGTTTTCTTGTTTTTTCCTTTTTTTTTTTTTTTTTTTTTGGTTTTTGTTTTGTTTTGTTTTAGAAAACAAATGCTGGAGGGTTTCTTTGATCTGTTGTGTTTTAGTAATTTTCATAAATAGCTCTTATACCATGAAAAGTGGCCCAGTGTGATTAAACACGCAAGATGTATTTGTTTCTCTTTGGTGCAGATCATGCCTGTCACTAGTATATGTTTGACGGTTGTAATGCTTAAAATAGTATTGGGTGTATGGCATGGTGGTGATGAGAGTTATTCCTCATGGCTACTTGTTAATTGTTACAGCTTAGAGAAGGGAACAGAGTTTGTATTGTTGGCAGGGCAGTGACTTGCCCCTTCTTTCAACTAATCTTACTGATAATTGTCTCTTGTCTTTAAATAAATTAAGGATGGACCATCCCTCAAACGGCAAACAGGCAGGGTATGAGACAGGTCTGAGGGTGAGGGCTTTTACCCATTGAGAGAGGGGTTGGTGTTATTTGTAGAGCATAACCTGAGGTTGGAGAGGACCACTGGGAGCCTGTAACCAGAACTAGAAGGTAACTTCTGGGATGGATGGAGGTTCTCTTGAGACAGTGCCAACCTAAATCTACCTCAGGTAAGTAGTTAGAGTAACTTTTTCAAGACTTCAGACCAAACAAGACACTTGTATTCAGTCTATGTATTCCTATGCTTTAATGTTTTTGTTTTCCCTTAAATTCTTAAATAAACATTTATTCTGAAAAACTCCATTTTTGTCTCTGCTCTACTAAAGAACAAGCACTTCCCCTACACTTGCACAAGAATAAAGCAGGTATTCAGGAACCTTTTCACAGTGTATACATATGTCAGACCATTAGCTTGTTCACTTTACCTTCCAGTTTTGTCAATTATACCTCAGTGAAACAGTAGAAAAATAAAGTGGGTATTCATGTGACCCTTCCACCTGGTAGGGGTGATCATCGTTAAAACTGTCTCCAGAATTCCAGTTTTTGATGCTAAGGCAGAGAAGTGAATGGAAACCTGGAAGAAATATTGTCTGTGCTCTGCTGTGGGTACTGGATCCTTTTGGAGCCTCCCCACTGCATTACCTAAATAGCACAGGAGAGAGTAATAGCTTAAACTGACCGTAACAACAAAATCACCTATTGTTTGAGTAACCTCCAACGTCAAAAATCAAGAAAAATGTTGAATTTGCAGTCCTCCTTAGAAGCTGCATAGGGCTGCAGTGCTGTCTTCCCGCCTTGGTTGGAGTGCAGCTCAGGAGGCGGGGTCAGAACAGTGGCGCCCACTTTCCTCCCATTAGCAAATTTGCCTGTTGGTATGTTTGCTCTGCCAACTAGAATAGGTCTCAGGTTTCAAAGTGGCCTTTTTTTTTTTTTTTTTTTTTTTTTTTGTGAGAAAAGAATAAGGGGGAAGCATGACAGCTGGGTAGATGAAAACGGGAAGGGAGCATAGCACAATGTCCTTTTGTTTTCCTTCTGAACTTGAGAGGGATGCCTGGAGTGGAATACCTGGAACATGGCCCGCAAGCTCCTGTGCCCCCTCCACCACCTTACAGTACTGTTCCAGCCCCGCACTCCGGTGGGGCGGGGGGGGGGGGGGGGTAAGAGATTACCTGGAAAACAGCCGCATCTCTTACAAGTAACCAGAAGAGAAGTGGTGTCTCTGGGGAAGTAGAAAAGCAAAGATGCATCCTGGCACACACACACATGCCACGGATGTTTCTAGAAATCATTCTTTGCATTGCTCCTTGAGCAAAACAAAACGCTTGCAATGAAATTGAAAGTTCCTTGTTTGATACCCCAACATTAGCTTGTGTTGTCACTTTACCCAAGCAGAGATTTGGACTTTAGGAAGTGAGAGAAGCTGAAGGTAGTTACTCTTGCAGAGGAAATGCTCCTCCTGTCTGGCCAAGGAAACAGCAGTAGGGGCTGCACTGTGAGTGGTGTCTGGTAACATGGAATAATTGGTGCTCTCAGTCCACTGAGGGAAAGGAAGGACTCCCGGAGAGGCTCCCATTACCTTTTGTGCCTATTTTCAAAATCTGCAATTCTCCTGTGCCTTAGTTCCTGGCTCAGACAGTTGCATTAATATATCTGAAAACTAGGAAAAGCCCTTTGTATGAAATTCTAAGTGGACCTTTCTCATTGAATCCAGATCTTCTAACTGGGGAGCCTAGCCTTACAGGTAGAGGAAGTTAGAGCTGTCCTGGGAGACCTGGGGCAGGCACTGAGGGGCAGCAGGGCCTGTGGTTTACATTGGGCAGCTGAGTTCCTGACTGGGCAGTGGACTGATGAGGGAGTTGTATGGAACAGTCGCTGCTGGTCACCTCTGCTGACGTGCTAAATCCACACTCCCCTCATTCTTCAGCTCCCTCTCAGCGCCCCCACAGGATCACCTATACCAAAAAGAGCCTTCCTGACCACTGCAAAACAAATCGTTTTATCTAGCCTGCTTTTCTCCTCCCACAAGAATAAATGTCCTGATTCCTTTCACAAGCTGAGCACATGGTACAACCACCTCTGGAACTTTCTTCCACTTGTTTTTTTCTGTAGAATTTTAAATTAATTTCCTTCATTGAGATTGTTCCTCGTGTATTCAAATATATATAGATATCCTTTCATTTCCTGTGTAAAAAAAGTTTAGGTTGCCCTTAAGATGCTAGTTTTTTCTCTTCTTTTTTCCCCTTCCAGAATATACCCAATTAAAATCTATGCTGCTTCCATTTCTAAGTGTTCATTTCCTACCTATCATGCTACCATCTGCCTTCTCTCAGTTTTCTACTGAGATGCTTTCAAAGATCACTGATCTCTGAGCCACATTGCAAGAAGATGTGCACTTTGCCGTTCCGCTGCCGTCTCTTTTATCGTCCTCAGCAACCCAGTACATAGGGTTTCTCACCGTCTTCCTGACGTTTGTTTTCCTCGCACCAAGCCCTTCAGCTGGCCACGCTCCGCCCCGCCCCAGGACGCGCCCCGCAGCCTTCAGCTGTACTCGCTGTGGCCCCGCCGCCCTCCCCTCCAGTCGCGCCCCGCGCGGGGGCTCCGGCCGCGAAGACGCGCAGCCTTCTTCCCGCTGTCCTGTGGCGCGTGGGTCCGAGGCTCCCTGCTACCCCTGCAGTCCAGGACTCGAGGCTCGGATGTCTCTGTCCTCCTTTTAGCGCTCGCCTTCCTCCGGCCCCTCGGTGCCCGCTCCCGGAATCTGTCTGGGGCTGAGTCCTGTGTGCGAGTGAGCACCCGCGTCCGCGGGGGTGGGGGGCATCCGGATCCCGCCTGGCAGCGGCTCCGTACTAAGAACCGCAGTGTGAAATGTGCTTTTACAGTTACGTGTCCACATGGAAACTGTAGAATGTTGCGCTTGCTTCGCCGTTGTTGCTGAGCGGTGTAAACTAGATGGAAGACCGCTGGGAAGTCCTCGCTAAAGACCCCGAGCGATCAAAATCTCCTGTTCCTGTGAAGGCGGTAGAGAGGACAGAATGCAAAGTCCAGACACAGAGCTGCATTTTATATGGGAATTTACTATATTTTAAAAAGTGTCATTTTAAATTAGTGCAGAAGGCATGATTCACTCAATGGTGTTAGATTAGTCAGATAAAAGCTTGGGAGAAAAAAAAAGTACATCCCTGCCGCGTGAAGCATAAAAATAAAGTACAGGTAGGCTAAAAGATTGGAAGTTTAAACCAAACTCTATACCAAGATAAAACCAGATGACCTTGAAGAAAGTCCCTTAATACCCCTGATCCTCAGTTTTCCACTCTATAAAGTTAGCATTTGGACCATATAATTGCACTATTAGGTAGCTAGCCACACCTGGCTATTGAACACTTAAAATTTTAGTCTAAATTGAGATATACCTGTAAGATACACACTGGATTTGGAGGACTTAGTACCAAAAAAATGTAAAATATCTCCTTAATAATTTATATCAATTGCATATTAAAATAGTACTTTGATATATATTGTGTTAAATAAAATATATTACTCAAATTTCACCTGTCTCATTTTTCTTTTCATGTGGCTACTAAAAAAAATTTAAAATTGCACATGAGACTTGCAGTATATTTCTTTTTTTTTTTTTAAGTAGGTTCAGTGCCCAGCATGGAGCCCAACACAGGGCCTGAACCCTGAGATCAAGCTGAGATCAAGCTGAGAACAAGAGTTGGAGGTTCCACAGACTGAGCTCCCCAGGTGTTCCAGAGGCTTGCATTATATTTCTATGGAATTGTACTGCTGTATAATATTTAAGGCCATCTCAAGCTTTAAAAGCCTATTGTGATTCCTTACATTTGTATAGTAAATTACATCTTCTACAGCTATTTTATGATGTATTGTCTCAATTAGAGCTCCAGGCAGGATCACAATGATTATCCCCATTTCTCAGATGGTGAGGAAACTAAGCCTTTATTAAAGACAGTTTCAAGTTTCCTATGATGGAATCAGGACTAGAGCAAGTCCCTTCTGTGCTGTGCTCCAAGGCTGGATCCTGGCACGTTTCATTTTATATCTGAGGTATACATGGAACTTAATGTTTATATTAGAGTTTGAGTGTCTTGCAATCTTCAGAGCTCACACCAGGACTGATCTGAGTGGCAGTGGTGGTGGTGTGTTTGTGTTGGGGGAAAAGTTCCCTTCTTTTGACCTGTTGTCTGTCTCCCTCCTTGGTGTACAAGTAAGCCTCAGAGTTCGAGAGAAAACTGAAGGGAGTTTGCCTCATTAGGTACAAACCTCCAGGTTCTATAGGAACTAAAGAGGAGACTTAAAGAAGCGAAATCCCAGAGAGAGAGTGAGTCTTGAAAGAGACCTATGTAACTAAAGAAACAAGCATCAGGGCTGCTCCACATAGGTCTTCTAACTAGCTTCTCTGTCTACTCAGAAAATTCTATTACCATACTTACAGGCTTATATTTCCTCCAGAGTCTGTGGAATAACTAGTCCAGAAACAGATCAGTGATTTCTATAGGAAGCAATGTATCTTCAAATTGGTATTCAAATCATAGAGAAAGGGTAGTTTATTTTAAAATATTCTTAGGACGTTAAGGGTTGGGGAAAATAGCATTAAATTCCTACCACACCAAATCTAAAAACAGTCTGGAGAGGTTTAATTGGAAAAATTAAATATTTTCTTAATGTAAAATATAAGATCATGGTTGTACCAAAATAAAGTTAGGGTAAATTAAAAAAAATAACAGTCCTTTCTTGTGAAGGCCTTTCTTCACATAGTATCAGTGCCAGAAATTATGCAAGAGTTACCAGAAGTGACGGTGTAAAAACTAAAAACTTATATTACCTAATTACACCATCAGCCAGGTAAGAAAGTATATTTATTGTATGTCATAGACAAGGGCTCCTATTCATGCTATAAAAGAGCATCTACAAATCAATAAGTAAAAGAAAATGGGAAAAGATGTGAATAGGGAGTTCACTGAAGAAATACAGCTGGCCAATATACACTTGGAAAGAGAGTCACATTAATATTCTTAGTAATATAAAATACTTCCACTATTTTGAATATCCAACTCTTTTGGTAATGTTTCCTATTAGCAAAGATGTAAAAAACTGTAATAGCCATGTAGGTGGCAGTTAGAAAAAATAGACACTATGCTATAGATTGAATGTTTGCATCTCCCCAAAACTCTTATGGTTTCAAGCCCAATCCCCAAATGTGATGGCTTTCGGAGGTGGGGCCTTTGGGAGGTGATTAGGCCACGAAGGTGAAACCCTCACAAATGGGATTAGTGTCCTTGAATAAG